AATTTATAAGAATATATTATAAATATTTTGGTCGTTACGGATTTCGCCAACCGTTGTCTCGTTCGTCTGCTCATTGGAAACAATAGCTTCTAATTTTCTCAATAGTCATCAAACGGTGCGGTTGATCGTTTTCGCTGCAATCTGTTTTGAAAGCGCAGCGTGCGCGGACGCGGGGTCAGTCTAACTTTCGTCTCTTTGAATTCTGATCGTTCGGCTGTCGAGGTAAAGAGTTAGCGAGTTAGTTAGCGAGTAGCTTAGAGTAAGTTAGAGAGTTAACGCGCGTCGTTCCCGTGTCGGATTCGGCCGACCACTATGGGGTGCCAACGATAAAAATATTATTTAGCACATTATTTAGCGTATAAAGTCATTATTTACTAAATAATGCCTTTATATAATAAATAATATATTATATGTTAAATAATGTATTATTTATTTATATCATATATTATATGTTCAATAATGTATTATTTAGCAAATATATTACTTAACAAATAATATATTATATAAATAAATAATACATTATTTAACATATAATATATTATTTATTATATAAAGGCATTATTTCGTAAATAATGACTTTATACGCTAAATAATGTGCTAAATAATATTTTTATCGTTGGCACCCCAAAGACCACGAAAGCGGCTATGTCAGTGAAACCTATTACGGATTGTCTGCCAGGATTCGGATACGTGCGCTGTTACCATCATATCACGAGGAGGTATTTTAAGTCGGCAAGTAAAATCATTGACATGTTTGCAGAAGACGTGATTGAAAACGGCAAAGTTAATTTTCGCCGAGCGGGGGGCGGGTGCGCGCGAAAGCCTCGTATAACTAGTAGTAGACGAAGGAGGACATAGAGATGAAGAGAGAAGAGAGAACGTCCAGCCACGTTACTCATGGCGAGAATTCTTTCTCAGTAGAAGCAAATTTGGGGGGGGGTAGTCGTGCGCGGTCAGTGCTCTTATATACGGTAATGAGTTCATGAGGACAAGAATAAGGACTAGGGTAAGTTCACCAGACAAGGGGCGGCCAGCACCTACAGCCTCTGCAGCAAATGAATCCGGTCCAGTGTGCAAGGCCTATAGCCCGGTATTGCCCCGCCGACATTTGATCTCCTCCTCCATATCCGTATCGTTTTTGCGCATCTGCCTATATCTGCCTTTGCTATTAGCAAGACTCAAGCGTACAACAGCCGTGTCTCAGGCAGACGCTGGAGGTGGGCGGGCGGGCGTGGCGCAAGATGTCGATGTTTTACAACTTTGCAAAGTTATTGCGGCGCGCCTGATTGTAGCCGTGGCGTTGACAGTAGTGTGCTGCGCAGTGGCGGCGGCGGCAGGCACATCGGCAGAAACTGCTCTGAGATTAAATATGCATGCCTGCTTCCACGGCGTTTCTGTTCGTATTGATCGTCGCCGAGCTCGAGTTTTTATTCGTGCCGCATGCGCGCGAGTTGCGTCAATTGATTATAGCTGCTAATGCACCGGAACGTGGCAGTTCGCGAGCGCGCGTAGTTTCCAAAAGGCTCCCCTCGTACACCGACGTGCGTTCCGCTGTGTTCGTAGGGGAGCGTGACGTGGGAGCTGAAAACATTTACGTACCTTGCACCCACGTTACGCGTTGCAGTCGGGGCAGGAGGCTTCAGCCTTGGTGACGCCTCGGTGACCTCGGGTGGACTAGAGAACGGTAGATGATATCAATACTCCATAATAGAAAATAATTTGAAGATGATATTAACAAAAAGAAATTCTATTGGCATGGACATTAAAAATCAAGTGGGATATGCAGGGGAGAGGACAGGTGATGGCGCGGAGGCAGAGGGTGGGTATTAAATTAAAGAAAACGGGGGGTATCAGAAAGACGAGGGGTTTGACATAGCAAGGCAAACATGGAGAAAATAACACGATGATATAGGCATGAGGAGACAACAGACGTGGATATGAAAGATGAGGGTGGCATAATGGAGTCAACTGAATAATGGAAAGGAAACACGAGGGACCTGATAAAAAGAGCCAAATGTATAGACAGCTAGGGCAGTTGAAGGGCCGGCATTATATAGCAACACGCATGCATTAGAAAGGCAACAAGGAGGATATATGCATTAAGTGACAACGGGTGGACTGGGACACGCTGAAAAACATGAACAATATTCGATTTCAACAAGAAAAATACGAGGAAGAACTGTGAGCGCAAGCAGGGCGGATAGACAAAGACATACGCACGTCATTGTATATCTACGTTATAACTTATCCATGTGTCAGTGATTGAGGCAACGCAGTTTTGGAGTGGCTTTCTGTCCCACAGGCACTTGGACCGTTTCAATAATAAAATGATGGTTAATAAATACAACTTGTCAGTACTACTACTAGCCCTACCAGTACCAGTACCAGCAATAGTCTTAATGTTTGATATAACTTCACTTCAACACCGTCCAATACACCGCTGCAACACAAAGCCCGCACGCCATTGTGCATGCACAGATACACAGTAGGTTAGAGTAGGTTACACACTCTAACCTACTGTGTATCTGTGCATGCACAATGGCGTGCGGGCTGCGAGTTTTTTTTTCCCAGTCGACATATCCCAGCGAAGAATTTAGCGCCTTCTGATTGGTTCTGATTGGTTCA